AAAAGTGTTCATGCAACAATGGATACGCAATGGATGGTGAGAACAAATGTGTCCCTGTTTGCACAGGTGGATGTGAGAACGGATTTTGCGCTTCTCCTGAAAAGTGTTCCTGTAACAATGGATACGTAATGGATAGTGAGAACAAGTGTGTCCCTGTTTGCACAGGTGGATGTGAGAACGGATTTTGCGCTTCTCCAGAAAAGTGTTCCTGCAACAATGGATACGTAATGGATAGTGAGAACAAGTGTGTCCCTGTCTGCACAGGTGGATGTGAGAACGGATTTTGCGCTTCTCCAGAAAAGTGTTCCTGCAACAATGGATACGTAATGGATAGTGAGAACAAGTGTGTCCCTGTTTGCACAGGTGGATGTGAGAACGGATTTTGCGCTTCTCCAGAAAAGTGTTCCTGCAACAATGGATACGTAATGGATAGTGAGAACAAGTGTGTCCCTGTCTGCACAGGTGGATGTGAGAACGGATTTTGCGCTTCTCCAGAAAAGTGTTCCTGCAACAATGGATACGTAATGGATAGTGAGAACAAGTGTGTCCCTGTCTGCACAGGTGGATGTGAGAACGGATTTTGCGCTTCTCCTGAAAAGTGTTCCTGCAACAATGGATACATAATGGATGGTGAGAACAAGTGTGTCCCTGTTTGCACAGGTGGATGTGAGAACGGATTTTGCGCTTCTCCTGAAAATTGTTCCTGTAACAATGGATACGTAATGCATAGTGAGAACAAGTGTGTCCCTGTCTGCACAGGTGGATGTGAGAACGGATTTTGCGCTTCTCCTGAAAAGTGTTCATGCAACAATGGATACGCAATGGATAGTGAGAACAAATGTGTCCCGGTCTGCACAGGTGGATGTGAGAACGGATTTTGCGCTTCTCCTGAAAAGTGTTCCTGTAACAATGGATACGTAATGGATAGTGAGAACAAGTGTGTCCCTGTTTGCACAGGTGGATGTGAGAACGGATTTTGCGCTTCTCCTGAAAAGTGTTCCTGTAATACCGGATATCTTGTGGATAGTGAGAACAAGTGTGTCCCTGTTTGCACAGGTGGATGTGAGAACGGTTTTTGTGCTTCTCCTGAAAAGTGTTCCTGCAGCAGTGGATACGTAATGGAAAATGAGAACAAGTGTGTCCCTGTTTGCACAGGTGGATGTGAGAACGGATTCTGTGCATCTCCTGAAAAGTGTTCTTGCAATAACGGATATCTCATGGATAGTGAGAACAAGTGCGTCCCTGTCTGCACAGGTGGATGTGAGAACGGATTTTGTGCTTCGCCTGAAAAGTGTTCCTGTAATACCGGATATCTTATGGATAGTGAGAACAAGTGTGTCCCTGTCTGCACAGGTGGATGTGAGAACGGATTCTGTGCATCTCCTGAAAAGTGTTCCTGCAATACCGGATATCTTATGGATAGTGAGAACAAGTGTGTCCCTGTTTGCACAGGTGGATGTGAGAACGGATTCTGTGCATCTCCTGAAAAGTGTTCTTGCAATAACGGATATCTCATGGATAGTGAGAGCAAGTGCGTCCCTGTCTGCACAGGTGGATGTGAGAACGGATTTTGCGCTTCTCCTGAAGAGTGTTCCTGCAGCAATGGATACGTAATGGAAAATGAAAACAAGTGTGTCCCTGTCTGCACAGGTGGATGTGAGAACGGATTTTGCACTTCTCCTGAAAAGTGTTCCTGCAACAATGGATACGTAATGGATAGTGAGAACAAGTGTGTCCCTGTCTGCACAGGTGGATGTGAGAACGGATTTTGTGCTTCGCCTGAAAAGTGTTCCTGTAATACCGGATATCTTATGGATAGTGAGAACAAGTGTGTCCCTGTCTGCACAGGTGGATGTGAGAACGGATTTTGTGCTTCGCCTGAAAAGTGTTCCTGTAATACCGGATATCTTATGGATAGTGAGAGCAAGTGTGTCCCTGTCTGCACAGGTGGATGTGAGAACGGATTCTGTGCATCTCCTGAAAAGTGTTCCTGCAATACCGGATATCTTATGGATAGTGAGAACAAGTGTGTCCCTGTTTGCACAGGTGGATGTGAGAACGGATTCTGTGCATCTCCTGAAAAGTGCTCTTGCAATAACGGATATCTCATGGATAGTGAGAGCAAGTGCGTCCCTGTCTGCACAGGTGGATGTGAGAACGGATTTTGCGCTTCTCCTGAAGAGTGTTCCTGCAGCAATGGATACGTAATGGAAAATGAGAACAAGTGTGTCCCTGTCTGCACAGGTGGATGTGAGAACGGATTTTGTGTATCTCCTGAAAAGTGTTCCTGTAAGGAAGGATACAGCAAGGAAACGGAGATCAGTTGTGCACCAATTTGCTCGAGAGGATGTGAGAACGGATTTTGTGCTTCTCCTGAAAAGTGTTCCTGCAATACCGGATATCTTATGGATACTGAGAACAGGTGCGTCCCAGTTTGCACAGGTGGATGTGAGAATGGATACTGTGCTTCTCCTGAAAAGTGTTCCTGCTATGAAGGATTCAGCAAGGAAACTGAAAACATCTGTGCTCCAGTTTGCAAAAATGATTGTGGAAACGGGGTTTGCATTTCTCCAGGAGTTTGCAAGTGCGATGAGGGCTTTATCTTTTCAGAAGAATCCGACACATGCCTGCCTGAAAAAAAATTGTTAACAGACTTAGATTGCGATCAGACTTGCCGGAACGGAACCTGCCTGGAAGGAATATGCACGTGTGAGAATAATTACAAGCTGCATCAAGACAGGGATGATAATCAAAGTCTTCTCTGCCTCCCGATTTGCGACCCCGAGTGCATCAACGGATACTGTGAATCCCCAGGGACGTGTGCATGTCTTGATAACGAAAGTCTGCAAGACGGTTATCGTTGCCAATCTGTGAAGTCTTTCGATGACAAGCTGTCATCCAAACCCAATGGAAATACAATAAGACATTTAAAATCAATTTTTATTACTATTGCTTTGGTAGCTCTCATTTTGGCCGTGATGATCGCATTGCTAATGATGCACATCTTCAAGAAACGCTCCTATTACGTGGGCAAAAACGGTATGCTACAATTTATATAAAGATGTTTCACAATTTGATGATTTTGTTTTTATAGAACAACAACTTGGCGTCTACTTCTCTCCCAAAAGAGCGGATATAATTCGAGCCTGATCTTCATTTACAATCCAGCAATGTACTCATTACTTTATAAAGGTTTCATAAGAATATATAAGTGCAAATCAGTTTTTGATTTTAATTTTTTAACAATTTTACAACTGTGGGGTAATTTCTGATGGCATTATGTGGGTGAGCTTTACTTTACATCCCTCAACTGTTCCTTTTACCAACTGCTTCCTTTGGACCATATAGTTGCTGAGGTGTTGGAATGTCCTCAACGAAAAAGTTGGCTGGAATTAGGTGGAAAACCGTCGACATTACGTCATAGAGGATATTTTCGACCGTCCCAACGATAAGTGGTTTTAGGGCTTCGTAGAAATCGCGCCAGTTCTCGTTAAAGAATTGGTTGGTACTGCGCTCGACCTCCTTGCTGCGTCCATTGAAAAGGTTGTCCAGGTAGGATCGGACCTTTGTCAGATTAAGTTGAACGCGTACCGAAGTCACATTGTCGAAGGTGAAGCCGCCCTTTTCATACAGACGGGTTTTTGTGAGAAGCAAAATGTCAAGATCATCTGAGGGAATGAGAACGTGTAGGTATTATATCATTATTTTAATTTCAAAGTTATGTTACCGATTTCGATGAATATTTTGCCAGAGCCACTAAGCGGTATAAGTAATATTCGTCCAGCCATTTCATACTTGCCATCCAGTCTCATTTTCGGCAGAAATATTTTGGTCTGCCAGCTAAAGTCTTTCTTGCTGACACTGTATAGAAAATTCAGGATAATTAACACGGCATAGTTTATAGTTCAAAATATTTTAAAGTCTTACGTGCAATGAAGTTGTAAAACATTTTTCAACATTAACAAAATGGAACACTCATTACTCGTATAAAATTGAAAATCCTAATTCATTTTGTACTAACCGACTCTCCTTGACCTTTGTTTTGGCGAAACCCTTGACCACCAGCTCAGTCAGATTGGCTCTGATGGTGGCCACTTCGTTGTTATCCTGCTTGAAGACTATATCCCTCACTCGCATGGGATCAAAGGGGCCGAAGCGCTCGACCACCTCTGGGATTCCAATGTTCAGCTGATCGAGAAGCTTCTGGATGCTGTTCGTAGAGCACTTGGTGAAGCCGGGCTCGTAAATCCGACAAGATGGCAGAAAGGCAGCTGGGGATTGGTTTTGGGTTCATATAAGGAGGATTTCGGAGTGCAGGGATATACACTCACGCTTCTCGGTGTAGTAGGCAACGGCTGAAACCAAGGCAATCTCGTTCAGGCACAAGATTGCAATTAATCCACCCCAAATGACAAACGATCTGCGGCCATGGCGCGTGCTGTTCATGCTGCCGTACTAGCAAGAGTCTAATAATTAAGTAGTTAGGTATCTAAGTATCCAAGTAACTTGTATCTGTATCTGCCACTGTGACAGCCGCTGCTCAGCCACATCAAACGGTGTCACGCTGTGGAACCGACTAGCCGGCGGCTGGCTGTGGGCCGGCGTTTTATTCTCAACTGCCAAGATCCGAGTTTCAAGATCCGAGATTCAAAATCCGACATCCGAGCTCTCAAATATGGTAACGACTTACAGCAACTTAATGATGCCGGGGCCAAATGCGACTCATTTTGCTTAATTTAATAATATTTTATTTCACGTATTTCCTGACTTAACAGCGATTATACAAATTATTCTGTTTGTAGATGTAGAGATAAAAAGTTGACCAAAAATTATGGTTTGGTTGGTATAGATACTTTAATGAAGTATTTTTTAGATCGAATTCCCGATCGCAAAATACTTAAAAGTTATTTATAAATATATTCAGTAGATTAGATGGTATATTAAAATAATGGTTTAATAACAAGAAGGATTCCATTTTTCGCCATACGTATTTATTAGTTTATGCGGCATAATCCAAAACTCTTTTCCAAACTTATTATTGTTAACATACTATTTAATATTATTATGAATAAAGATCACAAGAACATATTTAAAATAACATTTTAAGCACAGGTAAGCTTCCTTCTGTATATGTTTTAATGGAAGTCTTTGATCAAGTAGGTGGCTGGCACATAGATGAACGTCTTCTTGAATCGATCCAGAAGCACTCCGCTAACAGTTTGCTCAACGGCGGGACGTAGAACCTCGTAGAAATCGCGCCAGTTTTCGTTGAATAGAGTGTGGGCGGTATCCTCCAGATCCTTGTTGCCACCAAACAGATTTTCCAGCTTGATGCGGAATTGCTTGATCTCGCGGAACGAGACCTTAACATTTTGCACATCAGCGAAAACACCGTCCGCAGTGGTCAGTGGTTTGACGGCCAACTCCAGATATATCAGAGCATTTTCTGTATTGAACCGATATTAAGATAATAATTCCCTGAAAGATGCATTATTTCTTACCAGCTTCGAAATAACCATTGCCATGACCATTTAGATTAAGGGCCACCACATGTCCTTTGACTTTGTACTGGAAATTAAAACGTAGTTTGGGAACGCTGATCAAAGCCTTGGCCACGTAGTGACTTTGATCCCAGCTGAGGAGTTTATATAATACAATAAGGAAAAGTTCTCGTAACATATTTCAGCTACCATCACCTGGATTCCTTAACGACAGCTTGGCCAGCACCTGCCACATAGACCTCTTTCAGATCGGCATTTAAGGCTATAGCCCTGTTGGCATCCTGCGCGAACTTAACTCTCTTTATGTAGAGGGGATCGAAGGACCCCACGGCATTGTTGCCAGGAATTCCATCCTTCCACTGACGGAAGAAAGTCTGGAAATTGCTGGTTAGACAGGCATTTAAGCTGGGATCACCCACAATGCATGGAGTTAGGAAGTCGGCTGAAAGTAATATTTAAAAAAAAATTAATACTGGCAATAAAACTTCAATAAATTATTTTTAAAATGAAAAGTATTAAAAGAACTTTCTCCCCTTATTTGAGCCATTTAAATTATACAGTTTTTGAAGTCAGAATTTTTTCTTACGTTTCTCGGCCAGATATTTAGCCCCTTCGGCTGCCGCCAGAAGGACTGAAAAAAGGCTCAGGAACTTGGATACTTTTATAAGCATATCGTTGATTTTATTTCCAAATTTGATGACTAGAACTGTTTGCTTTGAGTTCACTGATTAAAATGACGATTCTGTTCGGTCTCCGGTAATTTTATTCGAAACGAACTGCTTAAATGTACAACTTTTAAAATCATTTCTTTGTTTTGCTGTTTTATATATATTTAGTTTATTTATTCCTGCTCTGTTTTTCGGTACAATTAGTAAGTAAACGAGTTTGTCAGCATTAGACCTGTTGTGGTCGTACAGGGTGCCTAAATCATTCGAGTCATCTGATACGAAACCCTAGCCCGAAAATGCATTAAACTTGGCTTATATTACTTAGCCTTTGCCTCGGCGCCGACTCCATTTCCAGTTGTAAGAAGCTAAAGTCCACAACAGCTGTCTTTGTATTCATACATATATTTAGACACTAATCTACATATTCTAGCCGGCGATTGTCTCACTTTCGCTGGAGTTGAACTGGTTCTACGAGACCATTAAAAATTCTCAGATCACTGTGACGATTGCTAACCGAATGCTGACGGATTTATGAGGTTCTATAGATCTCCTTTGAGAAAATGTATTTAAATAAATCATAGACAGCACTTCTGCAAAGTACTTTTGCATAGATCCATACTTTAGTGAGGAAAAGAAGCCAAACGAATGTACGTATTTATCTGCATGCAACCATGACCAAGGTCTGCGGTTCTTGGGTTAACGAACTCGTGGTTTTGTGTCTACTTGATATAAATGACTACACGGCAAACAAATGAATTATTTATAAAGCTAGATTTGGTAATCTTGAATTTACATTTTTTCTTCATACTCAAACAAAGAGTAATAGATATATAATTAATTTTTAATTTTACAATTGATTTGAAATTTTTATTGTCTATGTGTATACCGTTGTCCGAAATTTTTTTGAGTGTACAAATATTCGATTATAGCTGTATAAACTTCATAAAATCCAAAATCCCCCTTAAGTGTTCAAATAAATTAAATAATCTAATGTGGGTGGACAATTGAAGTTGTTTTGATTGTGGTTTGGGCTTTGTGTTAATTATAATGGGAGATTTCCTATTTTGTTTTTTAATAAAACTTACTTTACTGGTTGAATTTGGAAAAAGAGACAAAATTATAAACAGATTTGTATTTGTTTTTTTTTATATTTTCCATGTATACTTAAAAACCTATCACGTACCTTATATCTTACTAAATAAACTCATAATAAATCTCAAGAAAACTAGCAAGAAATCATCGCCTATTTTTGGCACGTCTTTGACGTAATAATAGCAACCAGTTTTCTTAGCCAAAGCGTTGACTAGGTCAGTATACCAGCATTTAAGTTTTTTATTGCTTTCTTTTCCTTACCCCAAGTGTGAATTTTGACAGGCCAGGAGAAATGGCCAAATCCGCTGTCAAATTGCTTGTTGTGGTTGCAGATTGTTATTGGTTATTGCATTTAGCTGCAAACAAGGTGTCTGGCCAGGTAAACGCAATCGATTAGCAGCTGAGGGGGAATTGTCTTGCATAATTGGAATGCCTAACAAGTGCAGCACTTCCGCACCTTTCAAGATTGGCATTCTTTTCTTTTCTGGATTGTTGTTTCAGTGGTGCTAAAGGTACTTCTTAATCTAAAAAATGTATCAAGAAGGTTATCTTTAAAAAAAATATTCTTACTATTTCTGAAATAAAATTTATGGAGGAACATAGTATAAGGGTTTCAAGGATAGGTTCTTGAAGTTCTTCTGAAGACAACATGAAATATAAATGATAAATTAAAAAATCCTTTCTAATAGATTTAAAACTGTTTAGTTGAATATTATTCAGTATTTTAAAGAATAATTAATCTTTGGATATTTAATTTTTATTTTACATTTAAGTGTACCTAGATAAAGTATGAATGAATAAAGGTACCTAGCTCTCATCACTGGTGGTTCTCTGATCTCATTGCGTATGCGTGAGTGGTGCGATCTGGAAGCATAAATTGCTGGCCAAGAATTCGAGTAGACGACGCTAACAACCTGATTGGAAATTACCTGTAGAGGTGAGTGAGTGGGTATATCGCTCATGTACTGTACTCACGCCCAGCTGGCTGCCGACCGCTTTCGATTTCTATGCTGCATTCCAAGCCAAGTTGAATCGGTTCTCGGATCGGATCGCTACGGATTGGAATGAGAGTTCGGGTCTCGGTTTCGTTTTCAGATCGCAGCTGATCGCCAGATCCAGAGACTTCGGCTCGACTTCAGCTCGAAGCTTTATTTTCTGCCATGGTTTTCTGTTCCCCCTCTTAGCCCGCTTTTGCAAAATGTTGGTTGTGGTATAAAAAGCGTTGCACGCCCTGATTTTCTTTTGAGTTTGTCGTTTCGATTCGCAGAGTCTCGAGTGCAAGTGCAGAGCGTATTTTCCATTTTGGCAGTGCATTACCCGTTGAGAGATTGGTGAAAACGGTTCGACATTGATTGTTTGGTTCTAAACGTTGGCAGAATGATGAAATTGGTAAGATGCAGCAAGGTCGTTTAAAGAGTGTGTGACATCGCAAAAGACTCGAAATTCATATTGATATGCAAAAGGTGCTCTGAGAATTTGCGCAGTGAATATTTAGAATGCAATTTAGCCAACCGGTTTGATCAGATCACCAGTGTCTATTATAAAAAGTAACTTAATTGCTGGCTTATTAGTCAGCCATGTCCTTGAGTGAATGTTAGCGCAGTGATAATCAGAGCAACTAATTAAGGTACTTAAGCCAAAGTTAAGTTCAGTGGTAATTGCAGCTTTTACAACTTGCTGTGTAAGATATGCAAATGATTTGGGTCTTTGTTCAAAGCCTTTGTTTATTGTTTTGCAGGCATTGAGCTCGGTGCTTTTGCTGCTTGCGGCCCACTGTGCGTATGCGCAACATCAGGACTACACCACTCCGGTGCCCATTCTCAAGCAGATTGACAAACACAACGACGATGGATCCTATACTTATGGGTACGAGGCGGCGGACAAGAGCTTCAAGATCGAGACCAAGTACGCCAATGGGGAGGTCTATGGAAAGTACGGCTATGTGGATGACCAGGGGAAAGTCAGGGAGATTGAGTATGGGGCCAGCAAACGAGGCTTTGAACCCGCTGGCAGCCACATCAATGTGCCACCTCCAACGCTGACCAACAGTAATCCCTACCCCTTGGGTCCCAACGAACTGGATGATGGGCAGTATCGCGAGGATCCGGCTGTGTACTACAAGGATCAGAAGTTCAATCGTCCCCTCTCGCCGGCCAGTAAATTCAGTTTGAACGACTTTGGACGTGGCCAGCAGCAGCAGCAGTCCTATGCCCCGCCCCCTCAGCAGCCCGCCCCCCAAAGGCCCTACTATAATCCCACACCCCAGTACTATAATCCCCCTGCCCCGCAGCCCCGTTACTATCAGCCTCCGGCCCAGAACTACTACAATCCCCAGCAGCAACAACCTTACAGAGGTTTGCCCGAGCAACATCACCCTTCTCTAAGGAACCTCAACCTCTATACGGGCTCCTATAGCATCGACTATACGGGAAGAAAGTAGGAAGGACCTTTGGATGGGGGGATCACCTTAGAGTTGGGCCACAGAGTCAGCGACTGAAGTGTCCGAGGACAATGTCAACTTGTTACTGCCAAAAAAATCAGTCACTCCGCACACCCCACATATATCTATTAATGTACACTGTTTATATATGTTCTTGTATGTGTGTAATAAATCGAGTTTCGAGACCTGAAGAGTTTACAGAGAAAGCAAAAGTCTTATAACATTGGTATTGGGTCTATTAAAAATTATATTGTCCAGATAATGTGTGGAGCTTAATGGGGTTAATAAAGTGATTAATGTTAATAATGAAAAGATAATCATCAATCTTTTTCTCTTGCCGTTCTGGCTCCCCAATTATTCTCAGTGCTCAGAAGTATTTCAAATATCTGTTTTGGCATTCAATTTGGCCAACTACCAGGTTCCGCTTCAATTAAGCCGCCCCGCAACTGAAATTGTACCCAAATCAAGCCGAATGAAATAAAGGCAAAGGCCCAGCAAGTGGCCAATAATCGTTTGGCCATTACGTCAACACAGAATGATCGGGCAAAACCAAAAAAAAAACTGTAGCCGATTCAGATAGAAAACCGAAGTGGATTTGCCGTTGACTGGAATTTGGTGCACTTATGCAATGTGCTGGCCCAAACCACTTTCAAATGCACTGCCACCAACGACCGACCGACCAGTTGGCCATAAGCTATTATAGCCCATAAGCGTGGTCTATGGTCTATGGTCTATGGTCTATGTACTGGGTGCTGGGTGCTGGAACCACTGCCTTTGTCTTTTGGGTGTGTGGACTACGAGTACTGGGAGGCAGTGGTTACAGGCTTGGATAATTGGAAGTCACCCGCCGAACAAAAGGCAGACAGAGAGGTTAAGTCATTGAGGTACTTATCTGTTCGTTAGCTTTAATGGGCTTTTAATTATGTAATTTAATTGAATATAGATCAGATTTACTATAGGTTTTTGATTTAATTAAATATTGTGATCGACAGTTTCTTGAAAATGTAAGGAAAATGTTAGGAAATCTTGATGGTTGTTTTGAGGAGAACTATAAAATTATTATTACCAATTTTATTTCTTTTCAAGGACCCATTTAAATAGACTTAGGTAAATCAAAGTATTTCAGTTTTTTTTACAACTCTTCTAATATTTTCTTCCCACTGTGCCAAGTCAAAAATGTAAAACGTTTTGCCAGCAGCACCAACGAAGAATCAAGTCCAGACTGCACCTCTTATAAAGCAGTGCACAAACACACATTGCAAGTTTGGAATTATTTGTATATTTTCAGCATTTATATACTGGCCTGCTACTGCTGCTTGGGCGTTGGCATGACTCAAGAATTTCCTGAAAAATTGTCTGCTTTGTTATGGCTGAACTGTGAACAGCTGCTGCATTTACTACATTTACTACATTTTCAGCAGCAGCTGAGGAGGCAAAACACCCGTGAGAATGGGATTGTTATGGTTGCCATTCAAAAATGCGTTGGCGTGCCATAAGTCGAGTCCTTTCCGATTCTCCAATTCCTTCTGCACTTCTTTGCAATTGAACTGAATACCTTTATGGCTTTTGTAGAAATGTAAAAGGGTCATATTTTAAGCTGAAAAATAAACATGGGTGGCAAAAATAAATAGATAAAATAATATTATAGCTACTTTAACAAGAATAACTTAAGTAGTTAAAAGAAAATGTAAGTTAAAAACTGGAAAACAAAGAATATTCGAGAAAAACGGCAAGTTGCCAGCCGACTTTTTAGCTTTTCTCAATTCTTACATATATACTAAATTACTAAATCACTAGACCTTTAATGCGAACTCGTAGTTCATTATATATCAAGAAAAGTTAGTATATTATTTAAGAGTATTTCAAATTCGATTGGCATTTTCAGATTTATTTTCGGCGAACTCTTTCGACCTTGATCATGCCAGTGCGTCTACGCATGTGCGCAAGTTCAGGTGCACGCCCATTCGCCCCCCAGTCCGCTTCCCACGAGTAAAAACTAGTCTTTAATGTGATATATTCATTGGGAAAAAGGCAGACAGGCAAAATAACAATCGCACGCACTTGAAGACTGGAAATCGCCCTGCGTCATGGGCGGCACTTGAAGGAGGTCTAAAGTAACAGAAAGGGGGTCTCGGGAGCAGGGGACAATTGTTGACTGTTTCCTGGTCTGGTATGTGGTGCAGGGGCTAACCAGTTTTGAACCTAACTGAACTGAACTATCACCATCCCGCTGCGGGTTGCAATTCTGGCTTGTCCATGCGGTTTTTCAGCACTAACCGAGTGCTACTCGTGGTGTGTCATTATCTCCAACGGAATTACTACGGCAAGGCCATTTCGAGTGGTTGCAAAAAAATAAAAACCAGGCGAAGGCGTGGAGTGCAGCTAACACTCTCAAAAGTGACACGTTGTCTGGTTCTGATTCCGTCATAAAGTAACATTCTCCGACATGAAGCATACGCACTGTTGAACCAGAGACAGAAACATGGCCATAAATTCTTGAAATAGTTCACAGCCGACCAGCTTGCAAGTATTTTGGGGATTAATGGTTTTTTAAATGATTTATGAGTAGTGCTGTAAGCTTTACTTGATTTGTATTTTTAGTCTTAAAGTGCGGCCACTAAATTGTTTTTTCTTTTGTTTTAAATTGGGGTGTGGTGAAAATCACAGAAGGTCGTGGTTTCAAGGAATCTCCCAACTGTTTACCCTAGGAGGATTGGCATTTTCTGGCCGAATCCGCAACACTTCACTTCACTTTGTTGGCTGGTTCATTCATTAGCCACTCGGCCTGCCGACTTAGCTTCATTTTTTACAATTTATGGGCCTCACAGTTTTGATTAATTGTTCGTAGATGTGGATAGCCACATCCCAATGGGCCTGAGATAGTTGCCATGGCGTTCGGAAGGTCGGGGTTAAAGTAAGAGTACCCGCCCCGATTTAGAAAGTAATTTGTTAAATTTGTTGAATTTATTATTAAATTGTTGCCTGGTTTTTAATCATATAAAGTGGGTGATATAATTCGTATTACAGTTGCTGAGACAACCGCTACTGAATTTTTGGTAGAAGTTGAGTGAAAGGAAAATTAAATCTGTTTTTCTTTATTTTATTGAACATTTTGAACAGAGCTGTCTTTAACTATTTTGAAGATTTTTTTTGGGCTAGTTAACCGATCTTATTTCTGGGTAGATCCCTATAAAAAGCTATAAAACAGGTTTATATGATCAAATAAATTATTGAAGATATGAAATATCATAACATAAATAAATATGTTTAACCTATACTAATTTCCTTTAATTAAAAATAATATACAATTATAATATAATTTATACAAACAACAAATTGGGATTATTAAAACCTTATAATTACATTATTTCCTTTTTATATGGTTATTCTTGGCCATTCCTGTAGTAATGGCCAAGAAAAGCTCGCCGAAGCACAGAGAGAACTCCCGTGGAGTCTCTGTCTCAATTTCAAGCTCGGTCAAGCTCTGCAGCCTCTCTCTCCACATATCTCTATATCTTTTTCTCCAGAGAAACACTGAGCTGCTCTCCGTCCTTTCGTTGGTGAAGTTTTGTGGTGCTGTGGCCGTTGGAGTGGTTCGGTGGTTCAGTGGTGCTGCGGGCTGGGGGATGCGGGGTCTTTGGTCCGTTATGGGAGAGGTAAAAAGGTTTTCCGCGATCGGTATATAAAGCGAAATACAACAACCTGGGCGGCTCAGTTGCCGTCGGTCCCAAGTTAATAATACTCCACGCGATCTCCACCGAAGTCGGTCCGAAGATTTGGCCGATTTGCCCGAGATAGTCACCCGGTTCATTAGGGGATTTGGAATTGGATTCGGACTCGGAATCGAAATTGAAAGTGCTTTGTTGTCTTCGACACTCGACACTCGATATTTACTTCAGCTGGGTGTTGCCAGCGAAGGCCTTTTGCGATTGCATTCAGGGCTTAATCGATTCGAAATAGCTGGCCCCACAAAAGCCAATCAGCGGATACAATTCAACAACATGAAAGTGGTATGTGAGTGGGCGTATATATAGATGTCGGTCGGTGGGTGGTAAATACCAAAGGTCGTTCGACAATCTAAATGCGTGGCTGTTTGAAAAAGGGGTGTATTACTTCAGGATGCCTAGATCTATGAAATAAGAGAGGAGGAGGTACTGGATCTTACGTCATCGCCATTGCGGCGACTGTTGTGCAAATATCGCATAATTTGCTATGCAAATCGAGCCAACCGTTAATTTGCTCCCAGCCCCGATCGCAATTGTTCAGCTTGGCTACAAGCGACATTTTCCAGCTCTTTGTGCCCGAGATCCAGTCCCCCCAATACCATTAGCCACTCCACTTGGCACCCAATTTGGTAACTGGATTTTGACATAATTATGAACGACGCAGCTTCTTGAGAAAAAAGTCTATAAAATAGTTGCAGGAACTTCAGTCAGCACTCGTTCCACTAACAAGCTCGCTTCAGCCGCATAGTTTTCGCGAAAATATCAAAGGCAAACTTTGGCTCAGTTCACACGCGGCAGTCAGCTTTTTGGTCAGTTTCTGGCTGGTTTTCGGTGCACTGGGTCCCCCGAGCATGTCGTGGCCTGGATGTATCTCTATCGGTACCTGTATCTGTATCTGTGCCTGTATCTAACTACCTGTCCGTCCACCTGTCCGCGCCAAGGCTGCGGCACATGGAGCCTAGATAGTGAAAGGTTTCGGCACGCGGAATGGGTCGAAACGGAATGGCCAGAAAAAGTTACAGTCCGGAAATGCCAAAAAGGAGTAAAAGCCAATAAACCAGATACCGATTCTGGCCATCTAAGCTTGTTCGCTCTGTTGTCAGGCTAGATGATACCTCCCCCACTAAACAATGGTTCTAGTCAGCTTTTGGTTTAGAGGATTCGGTCTGTGAAAGCCAAACATTCTCATTCTCACTGGGTTTCTAGGAAAAAGGCGAAAAACCCCTCCGAAAGTGATGATATATAAGTTTTCCTTTCATGACAAGTAAATTAAGCAAACAAATATTTGAATTCATAAAATTTTCCATTTGCTTAAACTTGCGATTTCTTTGAAAAGGTCATGGAGACCGAGAATAATCTCGTAAAATAATAAGCGTTGGACGAAACTTAAGCAGGTGTCATATGGATACGGCCATAATAGACAACTCTGAAAAATGTATTGACGAATACATATATAAAGACATGGATAGTCACAGGTTTTGTTATAAAATCCACCTTTGTTTCCTCTGTGATTCAGTAATTTTCCCGCAAATTTCTTTGGCATTTGCATGCCGCGAATGCATCTGATCGCTGCCGTAGTTGCATACTTGCAACACATTTCGGCAAGTGTGGGAACTTTTCCCAGCTTCCCATACATAATTTGTGTGTGCCTGCCTCTTTTGGGTTTTTCTCTCCCCGAATTTGCTGCCGGATTACCCAATTGCAGCTGCGATGTGTGCGCTGTGTGGGAGTCACGGGGCTGGCCAACGATAATTGGCATTACCCGGCATCTTCGTTCCCGGTAGCATTTCTCCACGCCATACTATACCATACCATTCCATACCGCGCTGGGCATTCAATTAATCCCATCCAGGTCCATCGCGTGTCACTGGGATTGGGTTTTCAGCTGGGCTCGGCCTTTATGCAACTTCGCAGTGGGATCTGCACTTCGGAAAATACCACCTTGAAGTACCTGTAATTTTAGGAATTTTTAAATCAGAAATTGAGTAAAGTACAGCTTTATTTATTTTTGTGTAAGAGTTATTTCTGTTTAATTAAGATTTTAATCAGCCTGATTGTCATAAAAATGGAGGGTAAATAACTCAATAAAATGTATGTTTCTCAAAAAATACGATCCTTTCACTTCTAGTCAAAAATGACAAGTACTTTTTTCTTAAAAGTATTTAAGTTCTCATAAAGTCCTTTTCTTAAATGTATTTATATATCAAAGATTTTATTTTATTTTTGTTCTGAAAGTTAAACAATTAATTTGTTATATTTTATTTAGTTATAAGTAAGTATTTTTTTGAGTGTGTGTAACTGAATCCGGGCTATCGGTTCCTGCTTGGCATTGAGGGTGTCATTGGCCGGCGGAAAAGTGAAAGGCAGCCTGACTTAAGATTTTTGTAGACAACGTCGCCGTCTGGCATTCTTGGCACCACTCAGACACCGATGCACTGTCAAGGTGTTCCACTGGCCAGGGGGAAGATGGAAATCCAACCTTTCTGATGGACAGGGTGCAATTAGCGAACCGGTTGCCATTTCACTAGGCAGATTTATTCTTATTTAAGTCCCATCCGCACACATATAATTGACTTATAATTGGTATATCTTACAGATGCAACGCGTGTTACTTGTAGGCTGCCTCATAGTGGGAGTGGGCATGGTGAGGTCACAGGACTATCAGGATTACCAGGAGAATACACCAAGGACGGCTCCCCTTCGCCTGCGAGCGAATGCCGCTCCTGCCCGTGCGGAAGCTCCTCGGGCCGATCCAGTGGCCATCCTCAAGCAGATCAACAAGTGGGTACCAATATATTTGTTAAGACAAAAAATGTTGCTTGATGATTCTTATAAACTATAATCTTATCTTATTTATATCAGCATTTTTTATAAAAAAAGGTTAAGCTAAATGAACACTTTTTCTTCTCTTTTTAGGCACAATGAAGATGGCTCCTACACTATGGCTACGAGGGTGCGATGGGTCCTTCAAATCGAGACCAAGTTGGCCACCGGTGAAGTCAAGGGCAAGTACGGATATGTGGACGAAACCGGAAAGGTGAGGGTGGTGGAGTACGGAGCCAACAATACGGATTCCAGCCTTCCGGAGAGGGCATCACAGTGGCACCACCCACTGGTCGATGAAACAGCCAAGGAGGAACCTGATTACGCAGATGAGCCGGTGCCCCAGCGCCCCAAAAACCTTATGTAAGTTGGGAGATAATTTTTTAATTAATTAAAATGATATAACTAACATTTTCTTAGCGTGTTCAGCGACCCCAGCCACGCCCACAGCCACGCCCGCAGCCACAGCCCAGCCGCAGTATGTGCATATGAGGAGGAGGAGGAGCCACAACGTCGGGTGCAGTATGCACCACAGCCTCAGCCGCAGCATCAACCGATCCCGCAGCCCCAGCAGCACCACCAGCCTTCGGTGGGTCCTGCACCACCTAGACTCCAAGTTCCCGGCGCCCAGCGCACCACTGACGTGCTATATTCCCCACTTCAGCGTCCAGCTCGCCCTGAACCAGACTACTCCCAATCCCAGAGCTTCGGCGAGGGACCCTCTAATGTGCGGATTTCCGGCCCGTTTACGCCTGCCCCCGCTTCGCCGGCTCCGAGCAGTGCCCGTGCTCAGGGATTCCTGGCCCCCGCCTCCGGAGGACGTCCACTGCTGGAACCCGTGGGTTTCGGTCAGGCCCAGCAGCCCATCGCTCGACCTGTCCAGCAGCAGCCGAGCTACCAGCCACAAGCCACAATCCCGCAGTGGTGGTGGAGGAGGTGGCTCCGGTTTACTGGATCAGTTAGCCCGGGATTACGCTGCCCAGGAAATGCCCACCACTGCACGACATCACCTTCGGCTACTACTGAATGGAGCCTAAGAGGTGGTTACCCAGCAGTCCCCATCCTCCTCATTAACCCTGAGATTCCTTCTTTTAGGTCCTAATCGCACAAGTGTGCCCTGTCCCTGAGATTTTTTAAGCGATAATAAAAATTCCCTATTAATAAATTAACTGATTCTTAAACGAGACTTAATTACTTAGTTATTATTAAAATATTTTAAAAGGGATTTACTAACTTAAGATTGATAAATTTGCTTTTTAGCCTACTTTTCGGCTCAAACTTAAATAAAGTTAAGGTGGTAAAAGATCTTAAGTTAATAAATATTATAATTGTAATATTATTATTTAATAATATCAGTTTATACTATTTTACTCTTAAAACTAATTTGAACTTTGAAATAATCTGGAAATTCTTTTATAGTTCGTTTTTAAATATTTAAATTCTCAACATATTTCCTTTATCTGTCTACAATCCTTTTTACATGAGCTTTACATGGCTCTTTCCACCTTATAAAGACTACTTTTAGGCATCGACTATACCAAATTTAAAAATCTCCCATCTAGATAGTAAAAGAATAAGTTTGTATTCAACGATTTATTTAATTTAAATACTTAAACATAAGATGGTAAAGTTAATCACTGCAAACTGCAGTTCTTCTGAGGCCCCCAACAGGGGTTCTTCGGATCGGAAATGTTTTAGAATGAGAGGAGTGACAGCAGAAAGATTCGGAATAGGCAGGAACGGTTTGACTAACTCTAGGATACGTGGAGATGGACGGTGCTGTAAACGATTGGGGCGGGTCCACAGCTTCCTCATCGTAATCTTCCTCTACTGATGGTAGACTGCAAAGAGATCGGTGAGAGGTGAGAAAAGGGTTCCCGATTCTATGTGGGTGGTGCTACAGCTCAGGAAAGTGGGAGTGCGAGAAGATATAGTGGTGGTGATTGGTGGTGCTGGGGATCGATTTTCATAGCATGCTGTGCTTAAGTTTTCGGATGCAATTTCTGGGGCTTGCTTTATTGCCAGCCTTTTCTGGGGAGCTCAATAAATTATTAATTACGATTAAAGATTGCGATAACGACATAACATAAATAAGTTATAGGTAAATGCTGGACATGACTTAGAGGACTATAAGCTAAGGACTACAGGCGATCTCCCGTTAGACCTCCAGCAGGCGATTGAACATCAGGGATCCTGTATCTCGTAGTCCTGCGGCCGGAAGACGCGCTTCCCGTGCTTGCCGCCTGGCGCCACCTGGCGGCGCACCTTGTAACCACCGCTGTGTCCTGGGTGGTACGATGATGGTGGTGCACTATACACATACTTGGACTTCTGCACCACTGGCGGTAGATACTGGAAGTGCGGTGACTGCTTGTGAACCTGCTTCTCGATGGAGTAGACGGGTCCACTTCCGTGGCTATTACCCTTCTCTTGGCCACCTCCAAGGCGGCTATAATGGGCGTCAGATCCTTGAGGGCATTGCTCTTCGAGGCATGATAGTTCTCCACCCTATAGTCCCCGGAAACTGGCGGCGGTGGTGGTGGCGGTGGTGCAGCTGCTCCAGGTGGTGGATAATCATAACCCTCATTTGGATGCTTCTGAATGTAGAGCTCCTCAGCAGACGGTCTCTTGGCCATTTGGTGGTAAACATCGCTGGATTCTTAGAGGCCGGATTATAGGCAGCAGTTATGGATTCCGTGTGCGAAAGGGACTCCAAGGTGCCCAGGTTGTTGGGTAAAGGTAAACCATAGCTATTATAAATCTCCGCCTGTTCCAAACCCGTTCCCGTGGGTGCACCTGTGTCCAAGCCACCGTTTTCGAGGCCGTATACTCAGTTTTTCCATTGGGCAGCATGCTGAGGATCTCCTGGAGCTGCAGAGCCGCCTTTCGAGCCTCCTCATCCGACAACTTTGCGTGGCGTCCATAGATGTTAAAGTCATTGCTATTTGCACTTGTTGCTGCCATTTTGTGGATGTTGTTTTGAGTGGGTGGGTGGTGTATGTGGTTGTTTGTTGTGATGTAGTGGTTGTTGTTGTTGTCGAGGTGTGTATGCAATGAGTGAGACTTCATTAGATTTACCAAATTAAATATTTGCGTTTTAATGTTTGGGTATTTACACTTGGTCTGGTCTGTTTATGTAAGAGTTTTGTGAGGTGCACAGAGAAAATGTATTTTCCAGTTTCAATGAATAATATTGACTTAATAAAAATATTTTCCATATTCTTAGAATTTTTAAATGTTAATTAAAAAATGTTTAGAAAATACATTTTCCTCTGTTTAGTGTGCTTTTTGTGTTAGATGACTTTAGTTTAATTTTCGTATGCAAAATGATTGGTTTACTTTACACATTTTGTACATTCGTGGTCGCCTTCAGGATGATTTTCATGATGATCACAGATGAATTCCATTTTTAGTTTGGGTTAGCTGAATGAGGAGAGTCGACGGACCGCGTTTCATCGAAGGCCTTTCGCTAGACTCTTTAATGGGCCACTGACTAAATGCGTATGCGCACTTTTATCAAGTATGCGACATGTGGCCACTGCAAATGGCGCCATTAATATCTGTACAATTCGCTTAGGCTCTACTCGTTGTTAACGGATACATAGGTATGACGTGATAATTTATTAAAACATGTTCAGATGCCTCTATGTACAATGAATCGATTAATGTTCGCTTGCGCAATGGGTGTTAAAAAATCGAATAAACTTAGTCTAGGAAGTGTGTCATTGGAACAAGTTATAAAGGGGCCTACCCAAACGTTAATGGTCAGATGGGGAGAGATTTTGACTGGTAGTGTTGATTTTTACAGTATTTACAATGTCTCTCTGGGATTTGTGCCTCGTCTTCACGAGTTATGAGCAACTGATGATGGGGCTTTCACTTTCTTCTCGTTGTTTGCTACGTGCGGAAATGAGATGAGGGCAAAAAAGGGCGGTGGGATGTAGGGGGCGGGGCGGGACAGCTGGGTATGCAAAGAAGCTGAGTGATTTGCGATCGCAAGATGATTTGACAAGCCAACGCCTGTCATTGTCATCTTGAGGATACTCTCATGGAAACTTTTAAATTACATATTTACATTTTCACTAACCATTAACGGTTGACATATTTGTAGAGGAATAGAATTATTTTTAACCAAAACATTTATAAAACATTTATAAACTTAAGATGCCAAAAATATTTGGTAAATTATGAAAAAAGAAAAGGGGGCTTGTAATGGTTATTATATTTACAGATTCTTATAAGTAGTAGGAACAACAAAAATCTATGGAAACTAAAAATGTTAAAAATTTGAGAGCTCAATAATGTTTGTAGTTTGGATATACTTGGTCATGAGGTTTTATAACAATTTTAGGTCTCCAAAGACTTCCAGTTCTTTTCTTATAATATCATATTTACATATTTATAGATCTGTTGAATATATTACATATATTATAGCTTACATAACATTTTTGAATAACCCTTCACCAATGTTAGTTTAGCAGAGTATGTACAGTGGAGATTATTTACATATGACCAAGCCCCATAAGTTCTTTTTTCCAGACCCGGTAACTACGCACCATCTTGTCCATAGGCCGATGGCAGGTAGTTGCTGGGCGGCGACTCGAAGGCCGCCGGGTGGCTCACGCTGAAGGGCGCTCCGCCGCTGTAGCTGGCCCCGCCCACCGGCGGGAGGTACTGGTGGGTGGCGCTGCTGTAGGAGGGCGGCTTCGAGGGGGGTCCATAGCTGGCGTGGCCGGTGGGTATTTCGTACGTGGTGATCGCTGCAACGAGACAAATGCGGAGACATTCGGTAAATATGGATCGCAGTTGCAGACGGAGAAGCCGGCGGAACAAGTTGCTGGCGAAAACGAAAGTTGCCGGCCAGGTTCATTGCACGCAGCATGCTCCGATTTGGCCATTGTATCTGCGGCTAAATCGGAGCTGCTGGCCGGGAGTTGCCTCTTCCGTTTTGGCCAGGTGCGGTCGTATTGGTTATTAGGCGGCTTAATTGTCATGCATCTAGTTCAGCAAATGGATTACGTAAGCGAAAGACAATATGTTTTGATTTCACGGCCGAATGCACAATGGCATATGCATTGGGATAAAAATAATAGTCTCGCGACCTAGTCCAATTTCATTGAACATGAATGTCTAATGCACTTCAAGGAGAGTGTAAAAACTTATAAGAAAATGTTTAAAAGTAATATAAGAGGTATCTGTAAAATGTAAAATGGTTTGTTTTATTAAAATTGGCAACCATTTATTTTCGAAGGGAAATTAGATATGTATCTTTGAGTTTCTTATAAGAGCAACTGCATTATTTAAACTTGATCTAGATTTGTTTATGGGTTATATATATTTACATAATTTTTAGATTTAATGGGTTAATACCTTGAACCTAGCTGTTGATTGAATATGGATTAAGATTTAAATGGGTACCACTGATATCTTTTCTGTACCTACTTGTATATTTTAAAACACACAAAAAAAGGTAAAGATTTTGTATCAAAATATTGGGTTAATTAATATTTTCTTTGTTTTGTAAAGTAATTAGTTGATAGTTACCTTTAAAAACAATTAAGTTCAATGTGTATTTTCTTTATTCTAGTTCTCATATTCATATTCTCCTAACTGTTATATTTTTTCTGAGTGTACTTACTTTCGTGGTGCAGGACGGGTCCAGGGCGGAGACCGTCTTGTGACCGCTGCTGCCGCCGGAGGAGGCGCCCGACAAGGAGGTCAGCTTGGCGAACAGACCGCCGCCGCCGGAGGAGTGACTAGTGGCGTAGGTGTGCGAGTTGATGTGCGCCGAGTTGATGATGGACTTGCCCACGTCGGTGACCTTGTCCCCACCGGCGGCCACCAGGTTGCCGCCCGCACTCAACGCATAGCCGCTGCCCTTGATCAGCTGACCCTTGAGTGCGGTGACCCCGCCGGTGATGGCCTTGACCGCCTGAAAGATGGTGTTCAGCACGGACTTCTTGAACGACCAGGGGTCGTAGTCCACCGAGTTGCCCTGGAAATGGAGGAAAGATTAGCTGGTTTCAAGGGAAGTAGATTCGATGAACCCTTTTCTGACCGCTTATGTGTGCTTTTAGCTCTCTAAGTTTAACCAGAGATTTTAATTGATGGAAAACCTCTGCTGGAAAATCAGGTCGTGAAAATGCGGCTCTCAACTTACATGGACAACAATCTCGTGGGACTTGTAGCTGTCCCCGCCCCCGCTGCTTCCGCCGGAACTGCCGGAGGCGATTGAGGCGGAGGCCTGGCCAATTCCGGACAGCAGGCCGGACTTCAGGTGCGCCACATAGTCGAAGCTGCCGGATCGCTTTTGCACCTGGGATTCCTTCACACTCTCACCAGGTTCGTTGTCCAGGTCTGTGTCCTCCAGTGAGAGTGATTTATCGGTGGCAGGGTGGGCGTGGCACATCAGGGCAGGGCGGCCACCAGCAGTAGACTCAGTCTGAAGACCTATTTGGGCAAACAGACATTTAATAAATTGTCTTACTAGAGCACCTATTCAAAAAACATGCAAAAATGGATCACCTATTACGAAGAAATGACAGTATATTGCGCAATACTTTTATGAATCTATTCGAATTTTACGTGACAGCCCCAACAATGGCCATAGACAACGAGGAAAATTCAATTGCCGAAATGTGTCGCTGCGGTGGTTGCACCACCATCACTTTTTTGTTGCCTGTTTTGCCCGCTTGCCACATCTGTGCACTCATTTGTCAACTGTCACACACACACGCACTCCATGTGCAATCATAATCTGCCACTTACCGCCGATACAAATGCCACTCGTAATCCTCGCTCTGCATATATGCAAACCCACCGAAACCCCCATCCTTACCCCCATATTACTTGGTTTACAGTTGAGCGATCTTAGACTAATTGGAGGGGGTGGATTGGGGGTATGGCCATATCCAATTTGGCCAAGAGGGGGTTAAGTCACTGTTTTGACTCACGGCGTTCGCAGAGGTTTCATGCTCCATCAAACTGTCAATATGCTAATTGATATTTAGGCTAATGCTTTAAGGAACCAGTTTAATTTGGGGCCACTATTACTACATAATTGAAATTTATGGGAAAATTCATTAGAGCTGAAAGTAGCACACATTAAATAGTTCCTTGAAATACTGAAATACCTTCTCCTATAACTAATCTTCTCTATTTTAAGTTTATTTAAAATACTAAACCACTTTTTATCAAGAAAATTAAATATTTTTACTATTACGGAAAATATCACTTAACAACTATTCCAATTTCTTTGTGTTGCCTTCATACAATTTTTCCATAAACGTAGTTTTCATATATCTAACACCACAAAGTCTTATTAAATTTATGATGTCTTTAAAATACCTCCACGATTTTGTTTAACACCATAAATGTTCGTGATCTACAGCCATTTTCTTCTATTAAACAATCTTAAATAGTTTAAATTGAGTTACATTTCTGAGAAATGATAGGAAACATTTGGTGGCCTTACTTCGGTACATTGATTTGTGCAATCCACTTACTCCGAAGTCAAATCGAATTTGGGTCGTCGAATCGGTTGTGGAACGATCAATAAGCGTTATTGATATTTTTGACAAATGCGTTTTAAATTAGTTTTGTATTTGGGTTAAAGTGGAACCGCCTCTATTAATTAAATTGGCAGCCTTTCTCCCCGCGATGGCGCAACCTCAATTATGACTGGCCAAATATGCTGTGATTTCTTATACAATGCATAAATTGCCCTAGCCCTGGGCCCAAACAATTGACCCATTGCAATCTGCATACAAATGCACTAATTAATCATAATAAATATTGTTCTTCGATTTGGTATTGCATAAGCATAAACATATGAAATACAATGGCAGAGAATAATAAAAATAATTGAAAGTTAATTGCCGCAATTATTATTTATGGTTCAAATGAGTAATTCACGGAATGCAATTTGAGTGCGAAATTGGCTTGAATTCGTTGGCATATTGAACTATTGGCCAATATTGGCCAAACCTCTTCTCTTTGATTGGATTTTTCGTTGTTTTCTTTTTTGTTTTGTGTTTACTCATTGTTATGGCCAATATTTTGTTGGGCTAAGAGTGAAAGTGTTGTATTCGCCGGCTTTGTGGCTCTCACACAGAGTATGGCTCTCTTTTTCCGTGTTCACAAGCAATTAGCATTTTTAATATTATTTAACGAACAGTGAGCAGAAGGCCTACATTGTATTATGTATTTTTTAAAGAAATATATATATTACTAGCTCAACTTTGAGCGGTAATTTAATTGCGGTAGGTTCAGTTTACGGACGCGTTTATCGTCTCTACGTGTGCTTCGTCTTCGTTTTCCGTTTGGCTAGCTACATTCAGCTTAGCCATATTCAAATTTCTTAACGATTTTCGAAAGCAACCCGCTGACGAGTAGAAGCCGCAGGTCTGACATAATAATTATGCACGACATCTACCTTCACACTCGGTCAAATGGTCAGCGCTTCTTGCGAGTCATGACATAAGGTTCCGAGTGAATGAAGGTCTTCGGAAAGGTGGCCAGCTTTTCGAGTGCACTGAAGCATCGATTGGGATTTTTGGGTTATCCATGGGGTTGCGTAACGAAAGCATCTCTATAAGTCACGCAGCCTGCTGGGGAGCTTAGCTAATAAAGTCAGCGATGTGTGGCCAACATAAAACGGGTTTCGCCGCAGAATGCCTTGCACTTGAACTTGTTTGCCAAAGAAATTGCATAAACTAGATATGGTTTTGTGGTTGGGGGGGGAGTATCTGTATCTCCATTAAAAGTATCTCAATTAGTCCAGTATTCGAATCAACTTTCACTGCGGTATCCTTTGACTTACCTTCATTTCGTTTGGCTGTGTTTTTCGTGGGATTAGCTCAAATTGGGCCTTGGATTAGCTGGGCGGCTAATCAAGTTCAAAATTCACTTTTACCGATGACGTCCTCGGGTGGGTTTTAATTTTGTTTTAAATTTTTTAACGCTGTCTCCTCTTCACACCAACTTTCTTCACTTGGCCAATCTTAACTTGCAATTGGCACTTGGCCGCACTTTTTCGACTTCGATTTCGAACCGTTTCGCTTCACGTTTGTTTTGTCATCGGCATTCGTCTCAGCGGTTTGGAGCGCACACAAAAATTTCACTCTCGACTTTCTTTCACCGATTCGAGTCGCCCGATCTGGGATTGTATCTGCTGCCACTTTGTATCTCGGCAACGTCTGCGCTCGAACTGTGCTCGAAAATCGCCGCGTGCGGCTTATTTAAAGAAATCACCGGAGAGCCGAGGCGCCACTGCAATTGAGCGTTTTTGGGGGTCTTTTTGGCACGCTCTTAGTCGAGGGGTTAAGAGTGCTGCCCTCTCTTTTCAGCTCTTTTTGTGTTACAATTTATTTTATATTTTTTTCGGCTTTTTCATGACAGCCTCTTGGCCATAAACGAGTGTCTGGGGTTCAATGCGTTTCGAGTGGCATCGGCAGCGGCATCGACTTTGGGCAACATGTGGCAATCTGAAAACTGCAATGCGGCTCATTAAGTTCGGTGGCTTAAACGTGTTCGACTGCTGAAAAAACAGCACCGTTGACTTCGTTTTCTGACATGGCCCAATCAAAAGACTGAGGCAACGAACTTGAAATGGAGTGATCACTAAGAGGATCGCTAATGGAAAAGTCGCCGTCGAAATAAGTAAAGCAAGGACAAGATTTGGCCTGGGTATTATTCTATGATCTTAAGTGTTAGATTGCATAATAGAATAGGACCTTTTAGATCTCCGTTTGGATTATTTATATGTTATAACACATAAGCCGTTCTAATACAAGAAAACTCTAGTTGCATGACATTAGTCAGGATACTCTTCGAAGTTCACGTTTTTATCACGTCATCGAAAGTGGAACATTCTTGAATTATACTTAGTTTTTTTCATTACATTCTTAATAATAAATTTGATTTTTTTAAATGTTTATCAATAGGCAAGTTGGTCAACAAAGTTAAATAGTTTTATTATGAATAAAAAAATATTATAATGAAAACTTCTGACTGGCGTTATTTGTTCTTGACCTGAAGCTAACTTAAACCCAACTTCTGTCTAAATTAAGAGCTACGACCTTGATCCCAGGCCTACTGATAGAAGCCTTCAACTGCAGACTCCAAAGCCGAGACCCAAAATAGCAACACAATGCGAACTTGAGGGCAAGCCATTATCTAATGTTGCGACAAATGGGTCCATGTCAACTTTTAGGCCCTCCTCTCGTCGAGAGTTCACTGTCACTATGTCAGAAGCGATTCATTTGTAAGCGCGCCAAACAATTAAGGCTAACAATGGCGGGGCGAACAATGGGTTGGTAAATTGTAAGACAGTTGGAACTGCCTGTCGCCCAATTCCCTGATGACAAGTCCTATGTAGGCAAATCCGTGGTTCGCAACATATCCACCTTCCGCCGGACTGCGGTTATCTAACCGAAAGTGAAATGGGCCCAGGCCAGACCGACCAACTGCAACTGCCAACTGAAGTTGCAACTGCAAATCGCAACTGCAACTACATAAATGCAAAACGCGAAGTGAACATGAAGAAAACTTGGCCCAAACATAATACTTAAGCACTCGTAGTTAACAAACTGTAAATTTGTTAAACAGCAAAAGGAAAACAAGACGGGGCAAGGCAAACAGCGGCAAAATAATAAAAATGAAAATAAGAAGAAAATCCCCGACTCATGTAATAGCCAGCGAATATATACTAATGGGACAAGATAATTGCGATTGGGGGCGGTGCTGGCGTAAAAGGTTTTAAGTGGAAATACCCTATGAACGAGGAAAAGATTTTCAAAAATATTGACCAGAACAATTTGTTAATTAGAAAAACCATTAAGATGACATATAAATAAAGAGCTCTTTAGATAAACTAATAAGAAAACTTAAGAAATAAATTGGCAAAATATGTGAGATAATATTTTCATTACATTTAATGGTCCTGTGAATATTTTGACAATGTATTTGGTCACAATTAGTAGCTACTGACTAATTAGGACTCAAAATATTTTTCAACTTTAAGAAATAAGTAAGTGCAAAACCTCAAAAAGCTCTGAAGGCCATTTGCAATTCGTGGAAATTCCGCCATTCACATTTTCCACTCGCGCAATTGTTTTCTTAATATTGTTTATATATTTTGCCCACTGTTTATTGGGTTGTCAACTTAAAGAGTGGAGCTGGGAGCTATAAATGTTTCTTCGCCGGGGATAATTTGCGGTTAAGTTAAATTTCCGCCGAACCGACAATGTGGCCATTCAGTTCAAGTTGAATGCACAGAAAGTGAGTCCAATTCAACAGGCCAACTTAACTCGCGGCCCGCACCCAATATATTGCGTATACGCCACCGCAGCGATAAAAAAGAAAATCTATCGATCGGCAACCGGTCAAATTTGAACAGGAAGGAAGTAGCTCATTGGAATTAACGTACAATTTATACGGCAAATGACAGATGAAAGAAGCGATGAGATAATACGGGAATGCAATAAGTCAGCAATTAAAATATATTCATTACTGTCACGGGAATTCGTGTCCTGAGTCCTCTCATAAATAAATTCATAAAGCGCTTGGCTCCAGAGTGCCACTTCCTGCCATTATGGCGTTCGGGTTTTTGTCTATCTTTTTATATCATCATCCAGACAAAGTCGGAGGCCAAAAAACACACATGTGCTTTTAATTTTTCACTCACTTTTCATGGGTTTTCTCGGCTGTTTTTTTTTTTGTTAATTGACGTGGGGCAATTGGCAGAGCGGGCAGGCAAAAATAAACAAGCGCAATGGAAAAATGTGTTGGGAAAAGTTTTCAGAGTGTAACGTGAAGTGCGATAACAGGCCGCTGCGCATTGGG